CCAGCTCTCCCAGCCTGGATCCAGAGCCAAATTGCTCCAGCCCTTGGTGCTCTTCCCATCCTGGCTCTTGTTTTGGGCACTGCCAAGCCCAACCTGAACCATGGGCACATCAAGAAGCCACATCTGGGATGGATTGGGATGGGATGGGTTGGGTTGGGATAGGAAGAGATGTGATAGAATGGGATGGGATGGGATGGGTGTTCAGCTCAACCAAGCAAGAGCAGATGCTCTCTGGAGCAGATCCATGTACCTGCTCCAGCCCACACCACATTGCACTGGACCATGGTGCCAGAGCCATGAAGGACACAGGATGAGGCAGGATCAGTCCCTGTCAGGACACACCAAGCCCCAACACCGTCTCATGTGTCCCATTCTGCTCCAGCAGCAGCAGGAGGATGGAGAACAAGGCCATGTACCTCCACACCTTCAGTGAGAGGGAGAGCAGCTCCCTCTTCGAGGAGCCCTTCGAGGGAAGGAGCCTCTCCAAGCTGAACCTCTGCGAGGACGGTGAGTGTGGCTCTCCATGGGTGATCCTGGAGAGCTCCTGGGAGCTTGGATTGCTCAGGAAGAAGCTCAGGATTTAGCCCCACACAGGGAGAGATGTCTGGACTGAGTTAGGTGTTCAGCTCCAGATGCAGGTCCCAGGCAGCTATCTCTGCCCTGGGAAGGGAATATCCAGGATGAGGAGGACTTGGTGGAAGGAGCACTGTGATGAGTTTTGGTGAGGCACTGGCACGGGGTGTCCAGAGAAACTGTAGCTGCTCCATCCCTGGAAGTGTTCCAGGCCAGGATGGATGGGGCTTGGAGCAACCTGGGCTGGTGGGAGGTGTTCCTTAATGGAACTAGATGGGCTGTAAGATCCTTTCCAACCCAAACCATTCCATGATTCTACAAATGTGTGTCCCACATGGAGTAGAAAACTTTTCCTCTCCTCCTGGCACAGCCTCACTGGGAGCAACACCCAGGGAATCCCTTGCAAGGAGGTCTCAGTGTCTCCTCTCCAGTCCAGCAAGGGAATGATGGACACGGGGCACCGATTCCGTCCTGGAAAGTGCTGTCCAGCCCTGGTACTGCCCAGGGCAGTGTTGGATTCCCCATCCCTGGAGGGATTGAACATCCATGTGGATGTGGCACTTGGGCACATGGTTAGTGGTGGCCTTGGCAGTGCTAGACTTGATGGTCTCCAAGGGCTTTTCCAGCCTCAATAATTCCATGAGACCTGTAGCGCTGCTGTGGAAACTGCTCTTGTTCTGAACTGTCTCCCATGGAATCAGGGTGGTGAGTGTCTCACCTTCCCAGTTTTAGGCATCCCAGGAGCCCGTGGCCTTCCCAGAGCATAGCCTATGTGCCAGGCTTGGGTCACTCCAGGCACTGATTGAGCTGGGAACATCTAGCTCTGGATAAATTCCTTCTGGATGCTGCACAGAGGAAGAGGTTAATGGGGATGACTTCAAGAGGACATGTGGAAATGCTGTGTGGGTGTCCTCACCTGCCCTCCAGCCCTGGGACTGGGACAGCTTTAATCTGGAGGGTGGATTTCCCATCCAGGCGATCCCTGAGTCTTGATGCTATTCCCAACTGCTCTCAGCAGTGCTCCTGCCTCTTCCTGCAGGGAAGAGAGGGACAGATCCTGCTCAGGGGCTGTTCCCATCCTCTGCCACCTGCAAATAGCTTGAAATGAGGGAAGAGTGATCCCACCATTCCCAGCAGAGCCCTTGTCCTGGCATGGTGGAGGCAGGTAGGGTTGGAGGCATGTCCCTGGCTTTGGGATCTTTATGGAAGGCTGCCTGGATCTCTCAGGGTGAACCTGCTCATCCGTAACTCACCCCAGCTTGGAGCTGGGCTTCAAAGGAAGCCCATTCCCATTTTGAGGGCAAGGTCATCCCTGAAAGCTTCACCACAAGGATGTGACCACCCAAATCCGTCCAGAACTAATGAAAAACACTCACTTTGGGGCTGATACCCCTTAGGAGAAGCATCCAAACCTTCCACTTTCCTTTGGGATAAGGTCCCAAAGCCTGGCAAGGATACTCCAGGCTGGAGGTGGCTCTTGGCCATGGGATGAGATCCCAAAGCCTTATAGGGATGCTCCAGGCTGGAGGTGGCTCCTGGACCCCCCAGGACAGCATCCCTAGACCTTTCCAGGACTTGTGGGCCCACTAATCCTGGTTGTTTTCATCCTTCCAGCTCCTCCATCCCTGTGTTTGGGTGTGCCACAGCTCCAGCTCCCTGGAGCATGGGCAGGGGAGGAAATATTTGCCTTTCCCCTTGGATACTGGCCGGATCCACCCGTGGGCTCCTTGGAACAGGCTGTTGTGCAAAGCTCCTTCCGCAGCTGCCATCCCTCCGGGTCTTCCCAGAGCAGGGAAGAGGAGTGGGTGGTTCAGGGCACAGATCCAACTCCTCCCAGAGTCTCCCAGGACCTCCTGGAAGTGTTAATGGCAGAAAAATATTGCAGCTTTCCTCCTCCTGCAAGCCTCAGCTCCAGCTGGTTTGGGTGGGAATGAGGTCCAGCTGGAGGATCCTGAGGGAGAGGCACTGCCTGTCACACCTGAGCTGGGGTGATCCATCCATCCATCCCGGAGTCCTGTGGGATTCCTGGAGCCTGACCTCAGTGCTTGATCATTTTGGAGCCTTCAGATGGGGCTGAGTCGAGGGATACTCCCAGTGTAACCCCGTGCTGGCTGGAGGCTTTTCCACAGCTCTGTGATCTCCAGCAGGATGGACACATGGAACATGGAAACAGCCACAGACATTGGGAAGATCAAGGGTCACCCCCAACCTGTAGTACTTCCTCTCCATATCCAGCACCCCAAGGAGCAGATTGATCCCACAGGGAGCTGAGCTCCTGCCCCATGGATGGAGGTTGGGATGGGGTGAGATCCCAAAGCCCAGTAGGAATGCTCCAGGCTGGAGGTGGGTCCTGGCCATGGGATAAAACCCCAAAGCCTGACAGGAATGTTCCAGGCTGGAATTGGCTCCTGGCCATGGGGTAAGGTCCCAAAGCCTGGCAGGGTTGTTCCAGGCTGGATGAGGGCATCATTCCTGGCCATGGATCAGTGTAGTTTTGCCCCCAGGAGGTTTGGATTTGAGGCTTCAACCCCTCTGGCTCTGGATCGGTGTGTCAGAGTTCCAAGGAGCAGAAAGCAATGGGATAAAGGCACTCAAGGGTCATGGGGTGGGAATTTTTGTCTCTTCCTCCCTCTTCTCTTGGTGTCTCCTTGGGGACATCTCGGATCTGGCAAGGAGCAGAACCTGGAACAAATTTGCTGGTTCTCAGCTGCTCCCAGAAACCTTGTGTTTCCACAAGGATCCTACACAGGAATGGTTTGGGTTGGAAGGGACCTTAAAGCTCCTCCCATCCCACCCTCTGCCATGGGCTGGGACACCTCCCACCAGCCCAGGTTGCTCCAAGCCCCATCCAACCTGGCCTGGAACACTCCCAGGGACAGAGCAGCCACAGCTGCTCTGGGCAACCTGTGCCAGTGCCTCACCATCCTCACAGTCAGGAATTCCTTCCCACCATCCCATCTCTCCCTGCCCTCTGGCAGTGGGAAGCCATTCTCTGTGTCCTGTCCCTCCAGGCCCTTGTCCCAAGTCCCTCTGCAGCTCTCTTGGAGCCCCTTGAGGCACTGGAAGGGACTCTGAGGTCTCCCTGGAACTCAGTGTTTTGCTTGAATCCCTTGGAACTCATTCTACTCTGATGAGAAACCCAAACTGGAGCCATCCCTACCTCCACCTCCATGGAATCATGAAATCCCAGACTGGTTTTCGTGGGAAGGAACCTTAAAGCTCATCGTGTTCCATCCCCTGCCATGGGCAGGGACACCTTCCCCCCAGCCCAGGTTGCTCCAAGCCCCATCCAGCCTGGCCTGGAGCACTCCCAGAGTGGGCTAACCTATGCCAGGACCTCCCCCCCCTCACAGAGATGGTCCAAACCATTCACTCAACATTCCCAGGCCACCACTAAGCCCCATCCCGCTCTGTCCCCAGGTGCTGGCAGGAGGATGAAGGCAGGAGGTCACTGTGGCCGTCTGGGCTCCTTGGCAGCTCTCAAATATGCTGTGCTTGGGCTCTATCTCCTGGTCTTCCTCATCCTCGTCGGAGTCTTCATCCTGGCAGGTAAGAGCTGATCCAGGATTCTCCCTGAGGTGGTGTTTGGAGAACCAGGTGTGTTCATGAGCATGGACCCTGTTTGTGCTGCCTCCGTGGAGGTGTTTGGAGGGTTTTCCATGGTGGGATCCAGCAGAAGCTCCTGCACATCTAGAGTGGTTTGGCTTTAACCTTTGAGGCTGGAATTGCTGCAGGGTTCAAGGGTCATGTGCTGGGAATGGTGAGGCACAGGAGAGGTTCAGGAGAGGTCAGGAAACCTCAGACTTGGAGCTGGAGTTGTTCCCATCGCTAGTTCCCAGCTGGATTTGCCTGGGATAAGGACCAGCCCTAGTTCCATCAGTGATGGGATGCAGGCAGGGAATTATCCCTGCACAGCACATCCCAGTGCTCCTGCCACCCCTCTCCTGAATTTCTGTGAGCACAGGGATGGCAAAGCCTCTTGGGAATGCCTAGAATTCCTTCCAGTTCATCCCAGGGACACATTCCTTGTGGTCCATGTTGCCTCAGGCTTGTTCCCCTCTTGTCATCCTGGAAGCAGTTTGGGAATTGCCTGGTTTAATCCACAATCCCATTATTCCTCCTTAATCCCTGGAGGTGGAGGGTCTTGGAGTGGGCTCGGATTGGGCTTGGAAGGGGCTTAGATTGGCCTTGGATGGGAAATGCTTCAACCACGGAGCAGCTCCACAATCTGTCTCAGAGTTTTCCCCATTATCCATGTCGGGAAAGGGTCTGAAGTCTCTCCTCTTCCATCCCCACATCACCCCTAGCTGCTCTCCAAGGCCAGGGAAAGGCCAGAGAAGGTTTTGCCAGAATTTCCAAACCTCTCCCACTTATTTCTTGCATGACATTGTTTGGATGTTGTTCTTGGCTGGAGCATTCCGGAGTGAGAGATGCCATGGATTGTGCAAAGAGCTCGGGAAAGGCTCTCAGTCCTGGGCTGAGCTGCAGCTGCTTATCCCAAAAAAAACCAGCTCCAGGAGTAACAATCACCCTCTGGCATTGGGAATCTTCTAGTTCCCACCTCCTGCAGTCCCATGACTGGCAGGATTCCAGGAAAATCCCCCCAAACCCACCTCACCCCCGGGCTGTGGTCTGGAACCTTGGAAAAGAGAGGCAGAGGGAAGAGAGAAATTATCTCCTTGGTTGTTGCTTTCTGCTTGTTTGGAATTTGAAGCCTTTGGCTTGGGATGGAGCTGAGTCACATGGGTTGGAGCTGGGGGGGCCTGGAATGGGCTTATCCCAAGGAAAACCACAGGCACAGGCTGCACTTGCTTCCCAGGTGGAGGATGGGGGGATCACATCCAGCTGGGAATCACAGGGACACAACTCTGATGGTCCTGAGCTTCAGGTGTCCATTTGGAGT